CCCGACCCCGCACTCACCGGCCCAGCTGGGGGTCAGGACCAGCGCCCCCGAGAGCAGCAGGAGGAGGGTGGGGGGCCTCAGGACCCGCATCCTTGGCGTTGGAAGCCCAAGTGAGTCGGGGCGGGTCCGGGAAAAGGTTATAACAGTGACCCGTGGTCACGCTGATTGGCTGCTCTAGAAACAGGACACCCAATGGGAGTGAGAAGTTGGGTCGCGTCATGAGTCTCCAAAAAGGAGGCCCCGACACAGGTTGGGAGAAGAGAAGGGAAATCCCGGGAAGATGGGGAGTCCCCACACTGTGGTTCTGGCCTGGGACTCTGTCCCCTGCGGAGACCTGAGGGCCGGGCCTGGGACCTGGAACTTGGTCCTGACCCTCCTCCTGCGCGGAGCGCCTGTCACACTGTCCCCCAAGGCCTGGCCCAGGCGCTGTGCTGTTCATTGCTCTCATTTTGGCATCAGAATTTCTATACAATGTTATAAATTAGTGAGGAACCAAAAAGTAATTTTGTTTATGCTGATTATAGCTATCAATATTTACCACATAAGGAATCAAACAGTTTGAAAAAATTATTAATTCATTTATCATATTAATAACTTATGACATGTTATCAGAAATAATGTTCTTATGAAAAATACCTATTTCCTAATAAACAAGGAGGTAAGAGGAGAGGACCTGCTCCCATTTTACATCCTTGCAAGTCTCACTTGGAGACGCTGGATCTTCATATTTGCTTCTGCGTTTCATCTATTATTTTGATTGAAGTATATGAAAAATATAGAGCCACCCAGAAATGTGCAGAAGTATTTTTAATAATATTTTCAGATGTGTGAATATTAATCTTTGATAGCACACTAAAACTACACAAGCAGTAGTTTCTGAAAAGGGCTTTGCAAAGTGAAACCTGAACCATTATTGAATCATTTCTGTTCTGTTCTGTCACAGTCCCCAGGGCTTTCTTGCTGGGTGGCTCTGGTCCTCATGCAGGTCATGTAAAGTGATGCCTTGTGTCTCTAAGTCCTACAGACCTTCCTGTGCTGATGCATTTAATCACATCATCAAAGCTCACAGGTGTTGCTGTTCCCACAGAGCCCCCTAGAAAAACGTGTCAGCACCGGGAAGCGGTCTAGCTCACGTGGTGGGACACACCTGTTCCAACATTCTGGTTTTCTCTTGGGGGCTGACATTTCATCAAGACAAAAGGACTGTCAGTTGTCACCTGCCAGGTGATGTTTTCTGAAAGGACAAGCTCACGTTTATTTTCAAGGCCTGTGGGAAGCGATTGAGGAGGTGGCTCAGCTGTGAATGCAGCAAGCAGAACCAATAAGCATGGTCAGACCCACCCACCAGGACTCAAAACATTATCTCATCGCCTGACAATAGCTGACGTCTGCCAACCCCCAGACCTGCACTTAGCTGCATTCGGGTCCCAGCCTCATCCCAGCCCCTTCCCTTTATAGTCCTGCCCCCTGCACCTTGCCTAAAGACAGGATTTGATGCTTGTAAGCCCCCCACCTTCTTGGTTGGCTGGCCTTCTCAATAAATGCCTAATATGATTCAACCCTGCCTTCATTATTGGACATAGCAACAGGCAGCCCGAGCCCACTCGGGGGTTTCCTGGTAACATATTTTGGCGACTCTAGACGGGACACCCTCCTCTGAGCCCTAAGGTAAGACCCTTCAGGGAGAGCCAAAGGACTGGGGGTGGTTGCCTGGACTTGGGTAACTTTTTTCCCCCTGTGGAAAACTTCTTACAGGCACCTGTGGAAACTCCCTAGCAGCTGCCAAGTTATTTAACTTGGGACTTTCCTTAAGTGCTTACAGACTCTCCTAGTCACCTTGGCTGTCGGTTGAATCAGTGTTCTGTGCGTGCCTGTTCTCTAAGTCGGGAGCACTGTGAGCCAGGAGCGGGATATTTAAGGTACCTTCTGTTTCTGTTCTGTGCGTGGGTGTTGAACAACTCGAAATGTGCCTCGACCTGCACAGAGGTTCAGGATCTGCAGGAGAGGCCGACACACACATGAAAATGCTAGACAAAAATGTGAATTATTAAGGGGTGGGGCCAGGTGGAGTCTCTGTTTTGAAGAGGCACACCAAGATCTGGCCTAGTCCACTTTTTATTCAGTTTTAGATACACATCTTGCCCTCAGTGAAGCACAGCAGTCATATAGCAGACAGACAATCTCTAAGGTCAGGAAAGATCAGTAAGGTTCAGTAAACATTTACTTGGAGGCTATCAGGTCAGAAAATTGCTTCAAGCCACCTTGACCTCAACACGAACAATCGGTGCGTAGCATTAGCCTCCCGCGTTCCTTGGTTCACACTCATGACAGTGCTGGTATGTGGTGGCTTCTGGCAGAAATGCATGGGAAATGCACAGGCAACCCCACCTGGCAGCCCATGGGCCGCATTCTGACTGTAAGTTCTGGGCACTGTAGGACATCTTCTGACAGA